CCTCATAACAATTTATGAAATGTAATATTGTTATTGGCAATTTATATATGGGGATCAAAGCAAACACCTTTAAGTAACTTACTCAAGATCACACAGCTAATAAGTGGAGAGCTAAGATTTAACTCAGATTCTCTGTTTAGAGCCTTATCTCTTACCTAGTATGATAATCTGCCTCTGTAATGACTACAATTATTTGCATCTACACTAGTGTCTCTACCTATCAATCCATTAATTCCTTACATAATGCAATACCAGGGAGGAAAAGGTTAGATTTCCATGATACAAGAAAGTCAATTAAAAGCAAATTCTTAATTGATAGTAACCTTTACTTTTAAAATGCCATGCATTTTAAAAATGGCTTTTATTAAATTTTGAATGGGTGCAAAATATTTACAAAATTTATTGAGAACATGCACCAGAATGGATAAAATGAAGAGACTGGTAAGAGTAGGTATTAGGTATTGCCAAGCAATTAGAACGCTTTCCCTGGCAGTAGGAAGAGAAATCAGTACAACCAATTCAGAAAAGAGTTTCCCAGAATCTACTAAAGCTGAACATGTATTGACTCTATGAACAAGCAGCTCCACAGTGAAGTGTCTCCCTGTCAGGAATGTGCACTTATGCATGAGCAAGAATATCCATAGTAGCACCATTTATCAGAGACAAACACTGGACAGGAGCCATATGGACATCAACAATAGAGTGAATGAATGAACTGTGGTATTATTATGAAATATTCAGAAATGAGAATTAAACAAGCAACAAGCAGCCACATGATCGAATTTCACAGAAGAAACCAGACACGGAAGTAGACCCGATGCATGATTCCATTTATAGGAAGTTTAACAAAAGCTGAAACTAATCTAAGGTATCAGTAGCCTATGAGTGTTTACTTTTTGAGGGTGATGACTGGATCGACAACAAGGAAGCATTAAATTCGGTAAATCTGTTTTCTGACTAGGGTGTTGGGTTTATGATAGGGTTACTTAGTGATAATCCATTAAGTCGTACACACTATTTTTGCATTCTTATATGAATATTGTATTTGATAAAGAGTTTTCATTAGAAAACCAGGTGGAGGGTTCCAGAACCCCAGGACAGGGCACCCCTGGACCCCACACTCTTGGTAAGAATGACATCATCTCTGAAGACCCTTCAGCTCCTTTCCTTTCTTCCTTCCCTCTTAGATAAAACTATTACCCTGAGCTGGCACATCCAATTCCCTTTCTTAATAAAATCATATTATAAATGGAGTATTTTAAAACAACATATTTAAATGTTTCTCTTTGTCCTTATTTACTTTAATTCAGATATTAAATAGGTGTTTACTTATTTGTGCATAGTATCCTCCAGATATCTTAATTTACTGGGACAGCTTTAGCATGGTTCAGAAATGACAGGTTTTATTTTCTCATCTGCAAAAAGGGGCCGGTTGTTGGGGGGAGTTTAAACTAGTTAGTTCTCAAATTCTTTTAGCTCTAAAACATGATCTTTGAGTGTGATTTGTAGGGTAGAATAGTATGATAACAGAACTTAATTGTGTAAGCATATAACCTATATGATGAAATCATCAGAGAAGTTCTTGTAGAAGATATAATTCTTAAGAGTTTTTATATATGCATAGCATTTTAGATAATGACAAAAATTATTCATTCATGAATATTCAAGGCCCCTGTACCTCACTCCATACACTCCATATTCACACAGCAAACTGTGTTGATACATATAAGTAGGAGCGTCAAAGACATTTATAATAAAATGAATGACTTCATAGGAGTCTCTGTTGGGAGAAAGGCAGACAAATATGAGATGGAGAGAACCAGGGGAAGATGTAAAAGATTTATGAGCTGAATTTGGAAAATGTTTCGGGTTTAAAAATGGAAGCAGGGAGTGTATTATGCAGAATATTGGAAGAAGCAATAGAAAAAGGATTTTATGATATTTTTCAGTGCATTGCGTATACCTTGATCCTGCCTCTGCCATCCTGGTGGGAGGTAGTAAACATTGTAATCATCTTCATTTACAATTTTTCTGTCATTTCAATGTTACTAATGAATTAGGCTAAGTGTGGATTCACTGGTAGATGGGTGTTGCACTTTTTACAGTCAAAACAAGATGAGGACATTCTGGGAAATGAGAGTAATTTGAGAAAAGAATAAAAGATGGGAGTCATAAGTTATGCTAATTGGGAAGTGATTAGATCTTCCTAGCAAAAAGTTGGTCTTTTATATTGGAAACATTTGGGAAATGAAATAAGCCCATTGATTGCTGACTTTGATGAACTATGATGATTAGGTTAAGCTGACTTTCAATATGTTCAAGAACTCTGATAGCCTCCAGTATTTATCACTGTAAGCTTATCATATACAGGATACTTTATTTTGCAGCAGTGTGTGGGATGCATGATGAGAGGAAGGGCTTCATGTCTGCAGAGCTGCAATTATAAAAATTTATGTCTGAAAGCGTGATGTTTGCAATAGCAGGAAGACATATGAATATGAAGTTCAAATGGAGTAGAAAATTTCCAAGCAAGAATGATGAAATTAAATGGTTAAATGGTGAATGAAGGAAAAGAAGAGCCAATGACAGCTCCCGAGTCCTGAGCATGAGGAGGGGGTGACAGCTGAGTGTTATTGACAGATTAGCACTAAATTATTTAAATATTGAACATTTTTTTTTGCCTGTAGAATCAACAAGTTTATTGAGAACTTCTGTGATTCAATACTAAGCAGCTCATTGAGAACAGAATGGAAAAAATAGCAACAACAAAAGCAG